TCGGAGGCCTGCAATAAGCGTCGCGTCGTGGCCTATCGCGTCGCTGAAACCTCCTCCGCCATCTTTTCTCAAATCGCGTGTCCACCTCAAAGATCAGAATTCTCGGCCGGTTTCCGTCTAATTGCCGCCCGCCTCTGTACAGGTTTCCGCAAGCAGCGCGGAAAACGAATTTTATCGGCGAGATGGCTCGGCATTTCCAGCCAATCCGGCCGACATAATACGATCAGCGGGCATGTAAATGTAATCACAGCGGCTCCTAGACCGACGGTGAATGCGTAGCGCCGCCGCGATAGGGCTTCTTTAATCTCGAGGTGAATCCGCGGAGGCGCGAAGCAACACTTGGCAGCCGATATCGTCGCCGGGACCGCGAAACTCCCTTTCAATTTTCCCTTTAACCGCGCGGAAGATTGCGCGGATTAAGGCGGAGGAGCTCCCTTTCTGGCCGCGGAAATATCCCGAGCATAAAAGTCTCCGAATCGGCTGAAAACCGTGCAGGATGCGCGCGGGCCCGCCGCGTCAACGGCTGAACTTTAATGAAATTTGCGAATCGGATATTTATGGAGGGCTTCTCGCGCGCTTCTCGGCGAGGCCCGCCGCGAACGCCGACTCATTTTACTTTGAAATATTTCCTGTCCAAGCGACCAAGCTCCTCGCGCGAGCCCTGTTATTCATGAATATGCTGATTATCGCGGTTTCCTGAAATGCTAATGGCAGAAAAGCGCATCCCGCCGCGTTCCCCGTAGACGGTGTGTATTATGAGATCCGCCGATAAGACGTCATAATGTACCAAGTACCTGAAGATCCAGCGCGGAACTGTTTCCCGAGGAAACAAAGCTGTATCGCGCTTTATACGCCTCCCCAGTGGCTACTCGCGTAGCCTTATCCGCGAAATCCTTGCATGAATAATGCGGTATTGTAAGGAAAGTATATCTGAATTACTTATGAAGTAGCGGCGCGGGGTTATCCGAAAAGCGTCTTCAGGATGTTGAATGAGAATATCCGTCAGACGCCATGTTTGTTTCGTCTTGTTTTCCGTTCTTCCTAACCTGCAACGACAGACCATTTCAGCGACGGATTCGTATACGATTGAAGAACGTGTTAAAGTTATTCAAATTTATTTGAAAAATCAGTATTCGATAAAAAATACCAATTGTAAATTACGTGATTTTTTCGACGATTCTTTCGTGATGAGCCAAAGTCTGGCGGACCAAAAGCAGCTCCGAGTGATAACGTTGCCGCCATTTGTGAAAGCGTTGCCAATGAATCGTCGACGTCGATTCCACGTCGTTCCCGAGAATTGAATATTTCTTATGGCAGATTTGCATTTGCATACTTGCGAGAAAAATCACTTCGTCCAAATAAAAGTTACTGTTCGATGTGGATTTCGGTCGAATGACGTAATCGGTTCGTTCTTTCTCTGAAACGAGAATGAAGATACAGTCAAAGCGAATGGTGCACGTTACAATGAAATGATTATTGATTATTTATGGCCGAAATTAAATGGTATCGACATAAGCGATGTTTATTTTCAGGAAGATGGAGCTACGCCGCACGCAGCGCGCGGAAACTGCTCGCTTTATTGCGATCGAGATTCAATGGTCGATTAATTTCAAGAAATATTGATGTAATTGGCCACCTGGTTCGTGTGATTTCACCCTGTGGCGGCTATCTGCAGACTTGCCAGCAGATAGATTCTCCTTTCCCGAATGTAACCGATCCGCCTTAGTTTGTATACAAATTTAATTTAATTTAATTAATTAAACTTCGTACGTCCTTCCAATATCCCAACGTCTAAGACAAGGGCCCGCTAGAATAGCCTTACCGATGAGTCCTCTAGCGGGTCCCGGACGAAACGCATCCCCCCCTCCCTTTAGCCATCGAAAACTCCGGAACACCATCGAACTTTTTTTTTCGAGGTTATTTGAAAAATAAAGTTTATGCCAACGCATCAGCAACGATTCATGACTTGAAAAACAACATTAGAAATGAAATTGGTGAATTGAACGAGCGAATATGTCAAAACGTCATCGAAAATTTTGATATTCGAATTGATGTCTGTAAACGTGGTCGTGATGGTCATTTGACAGATATTACCTTTCACACATAATTGTCATAGATGATACTTGATAATTAAATGAAAAAAGAAACAATGAAATTCAAAATAGTTCGTTTTTTGTTTCTTTTTATTTTATTTCCTATAGTCTATTTTGGATAACCCCGTAGATTTCTTTGCGAGATTTTTAAGACGACTTAACGCAAGGTTATTTTGAAAGATTAAAACAGCTTGAGATCGCGTGTTCATTTCATAAAAAATTCGATGCTGGCTAAGAATCAACTGTATGTTTATCGACCTACGGCTAGGAAGAGTTAATATTATTCCACAGATAATAATACGGCTTCGATTAAAAATTTAATCATTTTCAACCACATTGAATCACGCAGATAAACGGAATGGAAGAACGAAAGGACAAAATATCAAAAATTGTGAGCAAAAGAATTCCTATATTAACCATCCGCAGATGATTGTTGCCGTTTTCCGTATAAGAAACCGTGCTAAAAACGGCACGAATCATCTGCTCTTGAAAGTGTCGAAATAGCGCCAGTGGACAAAGTGGCAAAACGCGGAAACTGTTAGCCAAATTACCGACAGCCAATTTTTTCTGTACAGCTTGAGACCTAAAAATAGAGGGACGAAGCTTAGACCATGTACACATATGTACTATACTGCGTTCCTCGAGAATGCGAGTTTTACAACTATATGTATATATACTATTAAACGCGGCACGTGTATAGTGCGTGTACAGAAAAGCCAAGACTGTGACGTGGCGCGGAGTAAAAAAATGATCATTCGAACCTTTTTCGGCTCGAAGCACATCAGATGCATGTGCCTGTTGCTTTATGCGAGTGCGTGTAGCACTTAGGCGATCACGAATAAGGGAGACGCGGGAGGGGAATCNGTCCTCTAGCGGGTCCCGGACGAAACGCATCCCCCCCTCCCTTTAGCCATCGAAAACTCCGGAACACCATCGAACTTTTTTTTTCGAGGTTATTTGAAAAATAAAGTTTATGCCAACGCATCAGCAACGATTCATGACTTGAAAAACAACATTAGAAATGAAATTGGTGAATTGAACGAGCGAATATGTCAAAACGTCATCGAAAATTTTGATATTCGAATTGATGTCTGTAAACGTGGTCGTGATGGTCATTTGACAGATATTACCTTTCACACATAATTGTCATAGATGATACTTGATAATTAAATGAAAAAAGAAACAATGAAATTCAAAATAGTTCGTTTTTTGTTTCTTTTTATTTTATTTCCTATAGTCTATTTTGGATAACCCCGTAGATTTCTTTGCGAGATTTTTAAGACGACTTAACGCAAGGTTATTTTGAAAGATTAAAACAGCTTGAGATCGCGTGTTCATTTCATAAAAAATTCGATGCTGGCTAAGAATCAACTGTATGTTTATCGACCTACGGCTAGGAAGAGTTAATATTATTCCACAGATAATAATACGGCTTCGATTAAAAATTTAATCATTTTCAACCACATTGAATCACGCAGATAAACGGAATGGAAGAACGAAAGGACAAAATATCAAAAATTGTGAGCAAAAGAATTCCTATATTAACCATCCGCAGATGATTGTTGCCGTTTTCCGTATAAGAAACCGTGCTAAAAACGGCACGAATCATCTGCTCTTGAAAGTGTCGAAATAGCGCCAGTGGACAAAGTGGCAAAACGCGGAAACTGTTAGCCAAATTACCGACAGCCAATTTTTTCTGTACAGCTTGAGACCTAAAAATAGAGGGACGAAGCTTAGACCATGTACACATATGTACTATACTGCGTTCCTCGAGAATGCGAGTTTTACAACTATATGTATATATACTATTAAACGCGGCACGTGTATAGTGCGTGTACAGAAAAGCCAAGACTGTGACGTGGCGCGGAGTAAAAAAATGATCATTCGAACCTTTTTCGGCTCGAAGCACATCAGATGCATGTGCCTGTTGCTTTATGCGAGTGCGTGTAGCACTTAGGCGATCACGAATAAGGGAGACGCGGGAGGGGAATCAAGAGGCGTAGCCCTCAACACGTTGCGTGCACTTAATTCCGAGCCCCGATCTAAGGGAATCACACATGAATGAGAATGTAAACTTTCACATTTTTCAATATACTTTCATAAAAATATTGTGAATGAATTGAGGCCCTTTTTCCGATAAAAATGAGTCCGTACGAAGCCTAAATCAGTGCCAATAAGCAGGGTAAAAATTGCTTTCGCGTAGGCATCGATAGTTTTCGTAGGAATGTAACGCGGCAACAATGTACTTTAAAGAACTGGCTACACTGTAAATGTAGCCAGCTCAGACACACTTTTCTCTGTTGCAGTCGGATGTAGTTCACTAGCTTACCGTTTAATTTAGGTAGAGTCCGCTATCGTATCAGGTTCAGATTCGGTCGACAATTCAGGGACAGAAAAAGAGGATCGCATGCAATATTGACACGAAACCCTGTATGGTCCGTGTTTGATCTACTCTGATCGCCTCGTTCGTACTTCTGGCCAGAGCTTGGAGGCCGTAAAATCTTTTAGAACTTGTTTTCTCTTGTCTAGCCGCTATACAAAGCAAAGGAAGAAGAAACGGTCTAGAAGTGGGGTGTGTCGCATCACGTTATTCTCAATGGATCCTACTCTTCTTTGTCCTTTCTTTGCGATTAGAGAAGTGAGAGAAAGTTCTGAAAGTACTTTTATCACTGCTCCTGATCCTGACAACTCTGGTTCGTACTTGTGGTCAACTATAGTAAACCAATGTATTTATAGTTGAAACAAGATCATAGGTTATGATTGTTAAAAACATTGCATAAATTTCGTTACCATGTATTTTGCACTAATGCTATCAGACAGGAGCGTTGGAACGTCTACAACTGATGTCACACGCAATAAAAAAAAGGTCATATTAAACTACGAATTTCAATAAAAAATTGAACCTTCTGAGCTGAGATGAGATGACGTTATTGTCTACAATTTATTCAGTCTTTTCTTAAGGATTCGAAAATGTAAAAATGTATAACACTAATAAAAATTTGGAATATTTCATACCTAAACGAACGGATATCACTTCATTTTTCCCCTTCAAAGGGTAAATTTAACAATTTATATATTTTCTATAAGTAATTAATTAATTATGAACAGAAACCGGTTCGAGTGGAAAAAGGACTAGTATATTCTTCCACTTATGCTTATGTGTTTATTTATTAATTGTTGCGACGGAAGTCATCAAACTTGAAAATTTAATAAAAATATTCACAATGAGCATTCTTTCTTACTTCCGTACGTTCAGAACCGTTCTTTCTTTCCTCTCTTTCTCACTCTCTCTCTCTCTCTCTCTCGCATTTCATTCAATCTTTCTCTCTGTCTCTCACGCTCTCACACTCTCACATTCGTCTCTGTTACGCGCACGGCCGTAACATTCTTCGTGAGCTGATGCGCGTGGTATGAGCCAATTTATCGAGAACTCGTGTCCAGCACTCGTTGGACACTTGTGTGTGTATGTGTGTGTTGCCCGGCTATGTATGTATGAATGTGTGGTATGATGTATGTATATGTACATTCAATTATTAATAATTATTATTAATAACAACAATAATTAATTAATACGAATAGAAAATCATGTTTCACGGTGAATGACTTGATTTCTTATTTTCAATTTTCATTTCTTTTCAAGATTCGATGAATGTTCGTTTCCGGAGTTAAACGTTTTTTTTTATCGTCGTCCGTTACACGTGAAGGTATTTTTTCAGCGATGTCAGTGCAACATACGAATTCAGTCAAGCGAGGCCTTCAGTTTCGGCGATTTGCTGTCTCGAACATGAATTCAGAACATTCCGAACAGCGATTAGTCCTTGCTCAACGTCAGAGCTGCCAATGACAATTACATAAAGCTGGGATATCTTCACAGTGGTCACTCTTGCATTAAAATTACGATAACAGCGTGATTCCCTCGTAACAAACCGACCGGTTCAGTCCAGTCGGTTTGTCTAACTGATTGTATTATTAATTCAGTCCAAAATGACAACCATATCATCACCGCGCACTACTCTTTGCGGATGAGGAGGATGCAAAGGGGCTGGCAGTCTGCGCCATGGTTTGCGTGCCGCTCTTCGAAGTTCCACGGACGATAGAGATCTTCTAAGTCTTCTATAAAATCATAATAAACAACGTTAAATCGCCAGCATGTAAGAGACAAAATCAGAAAACCGTCAAAGTTACGAACTTGGTCTGATCCGAAGCGCGGAAATAGACGTCGTCAGGTGCGTCCATCCAGGAAATTACTTGCTTACGCGCATTACTTCTAGACAGCGGCGGCCCATGGGGCAACGTATGTGGATGAGCAGCTCTTCCATTGAGCGGTGGTGCTAGTGGAAGAACAGGAGGAGGTGCAGTGTGTTCCAAAGTATGCTTGGGATGTAGCTGCTGTGAATGGTGAGCCCTTTTTGCAGGTGGTCCACCAGGGAGCCCTGCACTTAGGGCAATACCTATCAAACATAACGGGATAATTGTACGACATTCAATACGAAACGCGACTACTATTACGTGGACGTAAAATAATGAAACCAATGTTCCATATTCCTTTGGATTATAACGATAAAACTGTACAACTTAACAAACTTGATGATTCGTTTGGCTGTATACATAGACTCATAGGCATTGAATTATTTTACCTTCATCCCAATCCACGTCAGAGTAGAAGCCAGTAAACAGAGACCACATTCAGTACTAGGACTTAGAACTGCAAACGAATGTAAATAGGAAATTCATGATACTGAGGCTTACCATCTGATCCATTGATTTCATCAAATGGAGGTCTTGTGCGTTTCAGGATGGTTTGTTGTTGCGTAGGCATAGTTGGTTGCGGTTGTGGTGGGGTCACTGGCAACCTGTCTACCTCCGACTTATTTGGTACTCTTTCATATAAAAGGCTTCCATCTATAACCACATTATAAAAAAGTTTAACCAGTGTTTCTTATTTTACTCTTTACTGGTGTATAAAACAGCTGCTATTCAAATTTGAAAGAAAACAAAAGAACACACTGTAAACGTATATTACATGCCTGGTGCCTTTGGTGGTCTGGGGAAGGAGACTCGATCGGGCTGTTTTCGTTGTGCTGGTGCCGTAAGGGCTAACCAATCCCAATCCCCGGGTTGCCGAGGAGCAGGATGATCACCTAAACGCGTTGCTATATCGGTGACACGAGGACGAGGCCGAGGACGTACAGCTCGCGCTAAAATACGCAATTCTGCCGGGCTTTTTGATGTCAACTGGGGAGAAGCGCAAAGATGCCGCAACGGTGCTGCATTTACAGGTTGATGGGGTGCTCGTGCTGCGTGACGTGTGCGTAATTGCGCTGCACACAATCTTCGTGCAGCCCGTGCTAACGCTGAAGTACGTAAGTAAAATGCGGAACGTGTTTTCATTACGGGCCTGGGAGATCCACCACCGCCGCCTCCGCTTGCTCCGCTTCCGCGTAAATCAACGCCATGAGCACTCGCATAATGGCGACTTAGATGCGCCTTGAGCTTGAATTCTTTCCCACAGGAAGGAATACTACATCGATGAGGTCGATGTGCGCCACCGATTCCTTTACTCTCTTCGTCCGAGCCTGCGCCACCTCTTTTTCTTTCTAAATCAACGTCATCGATACGTGATGGAACCTACGTATAAAATTAAAATATTAGCATCTTCATGAAATACCGATATGCCTTTGTTAAATCTTTATAAAATCGCACCTTGAGACCGCCATACTTCTTCCAGTACGTCCAACATGATTGGCACAGTCGACATTGCATATGCGATGGGCCCCAAGCGTACCACTGCGGGCTCTGCATAACTTGACAACTTTCACAGGGCTTACCACCAACCCCGACCATTAATATACCAGAATTATCAGTTGTCATGTTACCATTACTATTGCCATTAAGAACACTAGTTGGTTTGCCATTAGTGTTGCTATTACTATTACCAAGGGGTACTATTGTTGCCGCGGAAGGTGCGGTTGTAGGTGGTGTTGTCTTATTGTAATTTGGTATATAAACTTGTTTCAGTTTACTTTCTGCTTCCACAGCCTTTACCCTCTTCTGTTGTACGTATCTGTCTGTTGTCTTCCACATGTAATAATACTCGATGACGTTCTTTAGAGTTTTCCAGGGTAACTGAAACACCGACAAGTTAATTGTTATTAATCCGGTCGAAGATTTAAGTTCTATATTAACCGTTTCATAATATATGCTTACAAAGTCTTGACGAATATCAGCGAAATCCTTCCCATATTTGTCAAGGGCTTCCTCGAAGAGATTAGCTTCGGATGCACTCCACTCTTCCATCTCATCTCTGCATAATACTGGACCAGTACTAGGCACTAGAGATGACATTGCCTTCGCGACATCGTAACTATGCCGATGCAAAGTATCCATCGCATGAAACTATGAGAACACATGGAAATAAATTAATGGTATTCCAGAAAAAATAATTCTAGCAGTGCAGTGATATAATGTAATGATATATACAAGTGTAATGTCTCTTGATGCAGCTGCCGCAGACATGTGTAAAGAGGGTTGTTTAACTGAAGAAGAACAATCTAAGGCTCTTGCAAATGTGCCTACAGATCTACTGACGACAAGGAATTGGTCTATCTGTCTATCCGTCAGCGAATGTCGTGGTGTCCAAACCAAAGTTTCTAAATCCTGTGATCTACGAGGATCCGATTCCCTTTCAGCAGGGGTGAGTGGAGCTGGCGCTATACCATCAGCTTGGTATTTACTGCCTACTCTAATTTCACCTGCAAAATTGCATGAATATATAAAATATATGAAGCGATAGTAATAATATGAAATGTAATGTTGAAATGTATGCGAATACCTTTGTCAGCAAGCAAAGTACGCTGTGCGGGATCAAATACTAAGCAATAGAAGAAGGAATCTTCCTTGTTCAAATAACTTAATAAAGATTCTGTTTCATTTAACAATGTCACACAGCATTTGCCCCTTATGTGTGTCGCAGGCATGGTTTCCACCTGCCGAGATAGAAACAACTCCCTGTGTTTCATTTGATGACGTTGTTTAGAACTTAACTCTGTAACACCTCCAGCACCTACCACGTTGTCTTCAGTCCCTGTGTGTCAATAATTGTAATTTTAAAATATATTTTATAATTAAAATATTAAAATTAATAATAGAAAAAAGCTTAACTGAAACATATCTCACGTAAGTGTCAAAAAAAAAAAAAAAGTAAGATACTGAAAACACTGAATTCAATAACTTTGTTATACTACATTTTAACATAATAGTTATAAGTTTAATCAGACATTTCAGCATCACATTATTTATATTAATAAAACAGTGACAAAAATATTTTCTTTTAGTACAGAAATTCGTCCTATGTCCGGTCATTAAAATTTATTCATGCACTTCCGGTCTTTTCTTTTTTCGTTTCAAGACAAATAAATTAAATGTAAATGAAACGCAGGAATGTGGCAGAATCAATTAAAAACTTACAACACTCAAATAAAATATCAGCAAGAGCGGGCAACAAAAAAATAAAAATGAAAGCAATCTTAAGTGATAAATTACTTATCTTAACAAAAACAAAATTAACTTTTGAATAAATGTAAATTGTTTAAAGAAGCCTCAGATTACTAAAGAATTATCATTTTATGCGGCGGGATTTTTGTTTTAATGAATGATTGATTATTTCAATGATTATGAGGACTAATTTTAGATACTGGAATTCGAATAAATGAATCATTATAATGATTACTTGAGAGAAGAAAAGATACAAAATAAAAGTAGCAGTATACTATAAATAACAGGATAGATGATGAAAATGTTTATGATCATGTATTGTCATATATATGGGTTCATACAGTTTCACATTATTTGAGAAACCGTTCAAGTCCCCTTCTTTACAACTTTCAAGAAGAGTTCATGGGTGAACCCAATTTATTGTCTCTTTGGCCTTACAGTGAATCCAGCCTAAACTTATGACATTCACCAAGATTTCAAAGAAGTTTATAAATCCCGCCGCCAGATCATTAGCCTTAAATCATCACTGGCTTCTATGAGACTAATGAGTCAATCAAAAGGTACACATTGTGGGTTACTTACTGATGAATCCCTGTAACAACTCATACGTTAATCATGTACAATTTGCATTTGCAACTATTTACACTTAATAATACAGAATACCTAATACTGTGATTTATACTTATATAAAAATCCAGTAATTAAACGTGTGAACTAATAAGATCTATGTATATCGTTTTATATTTGTTACTAATCATTACTTTAAACAAAAAATATATATATACATATATACATATACACGTATATTAAAATTCGTAACCAAGATTCATCTGCAAGGAGCACCTTTTAATTGACTGCTCACTCACCATGAGGCTCTTGGGCCTCGGATAGTGGGGCTTTCAGCCAGCCCCCCTTCCCGCCCCCTTTGATCATCACTTTGGGCCCGATCCCATCTTTATTAGTCATTTCCTTAGTAGTATCTGGAATCTCCAGTTTCTGACTCTGCATGTTCGCAGGGGATTCTGATCTCTGCTGCTCCGCACTTGCCACTGCAATTTGTATCATAGAACCCACTCTACTATTTTTCACTATTCTCTCTTTTTCGAATACAATTGTAATACATGCTCTTGTAATTCAAAAGAACTCATAACATATTTCAGGTTCATTTTTCAACAATTTTTACTAATTGGAATATCTCATCACATGGTAGTATACAACTGTATTGTTGTAATAAAAAATAATTTTGATTCTGTCAACCAATTCCAATCGCGTTTCTATTTACAACTGCAATATATAATAAGTAATATTCAAATATAGAATGAGTGAGATATTGAAAGTGATAATAATTGTTTCAATGCATATGTATGAATTATATACCGTGGATATTTATACAAATATAAAATAATTAAAATCAAAACTTTCATAGAATTTCATTCTTCTCTCCATATCAACTTCAAAATATTGAAACTCTTAATACAGAAAATGAAATGCCAAGTTCTCAAGTTCCACAGCATTGTACAGTAAATATACATAAATATGCATAAAAATCTGCAGTTTAATGATGAGGGTTGAATGCTCAGAAAGATTTGATACAGTTCACTATAAAACTCGATCTGTAAATATTGGATCAATATTCTCTCCATAAAAAAAAACGAGTTCGCGAAGAGATGAAATGTATTTCCAAATTTTATAAAGTGGGAATCGTGAAGAACGATAAAAAAAACATATTTTAAATAAACTTCCGACACCGCTAAGAAGGGAGATACTAATTTGAACCTCGAACGAATCTCAATCGATATCCAGAAATTCTTGAAGGGAAACGATATACTTCTGGACTACGGGGCTATCGTCGCCGAAAAAGGGGTAAAAGGGGACCCTCTGGAAGCATCCGATCCCCGGGGAGCGCGTCGTTGCCGTAACCTTTTCATACGTTCCATGCATGAAAATATCGACTCCCGACAAGACAAAGGTTCGTATATTTTTTTCCTGAAATTCGAAGCACAGAAGAGAGCAAGGTACAGAACCGACAGAGGAGGGGGAAAGCCCGATTCGAAGCAAATACCGGCGGACGGACATAGAACCAGTGAGAAAGGGAGGAGGGAGGCAGGGGGTGGAAAGGGACAGATGTAAAGAGAAAGAGAGAAATAGCACGGGAGAGTGTACATTCGCGTTACACACACATACACACATACACACACGTACAGAATTTGCACTCATACACATACATACATTACATACATAAGGTACGAAAGAAGAGGACGGAGGGAAAGAGAAGCGGCAGAGAGAGAGAGAGAGAGAGAGAGAGAGAGAGAGAGAGAGAGAGTAAATGCTTAAAACGAAGATGGCTAGTGGGGCCCACACCATTTTCGCCCAGGCACACACGGCGTACTCGCGCGTGTATATGTGTGCGTTCCTGTTTTCTCTCTGCCCGTTATTCGTGCATGTCTGCGTGCGCGCCTGGTTATCGTATACGTTCCTCTATCGGTGTCCTTACGAGTCTCTGTGTGTCCGAGTACACGTAACACATACCCAACCAATCCCTGCGTCAGTCATTCATTTAGTTCAGGGTGGCGGGTGGGGTGGTACAGGGGGAACTCGGGTGAGAGAGGTAGAAAGAGGGGGCGGTGGTGGGCTAGCGAGTGCACACCATCCCCCCAACCCACCCCCGGCAGATCGATAC